ATATATACATACACACACACATACATATATATATATATATACATATAAAATATTTTATCATCAAATGTAGCTTTGGTAAGCATAACAATCATTTTACAAACATTTAAAAATCTTACTGACCCCAAACTTTTGAAGGGTAGAACATAAAAAAAATAAAATAAAAAAAAAGGGTTTCTGCCTCATGAGGACCTGAGGGGTGTTTTTTTTTTTTTTTTTTTAAAGTTGTTTAATACAATTTTGGACCTACATCACCCCTGTATTATACTTTATGAATTGTGGTTAATATATCAGGATCTCGGTCAAAGATCAGTTGTGCACTTCATACGTTCAGGTTTGGCTTGTCAGCTGAATAATGTTTAAACAGTGGCAGTGAAACCATATGTTGGTGGATGTGAGGGAGTGTGCAGTCTGGTCTTTATGACTGATATCTGGCTGTGTAAAGAGATACTGTGGGAGAGTCATCAAAAAGAATGGAGGGCTTAACCTTAAACCTAAAAATGTAGCCACCAAACTACATAACTGATCCACACACACACACACACACACACACACACACACACACACACACAGAATTCCATGTAGAAGTACCGCTCTTATACCCCACTGAAATAACGCCTTAGTATCAGATCAAATGTAGTCTTTTCTTTCTCATTTCCTCTCTCCTCAGTTACAGTAAAGTATAAACAAACACAGTAAACGTAAGATCTTTGCACTGCCTGATAAGCTGCAGAGATAATAAACGTGCTCTGGCTTTTATGGAGCTTAAGCTCATCTTCCTCTCAGTGAAGGACAAGTTGACTCAGCTGCTGGGGTTGAGTTGACATTGAGTTTCTTCAGTTTCTTTTTCTGGCTCACAAACATACACAACAGATGAAATTCTTCCTTTTTTTATAATCTTACCTTCCGGGTCAAAGGTCTGGAAGACTCTTCTAGCCTGCTCTGAAGGAGACTCTGGGGCCACTAAAGCCATCTCCTAGAAAGAGAAGGAAATATGAAATAAAAAAAGAGAGTTATGGCATGGGCCACACCATTTTTGAGATGCTAAAATATTCCTATTTCAAGTTTAGAGATAACGGTAAGTCATTCATAAGTTGATATTGTTCTGAGGATGAGGGAGAGCTGACCTAATATGACTTGAGTGTGACCATTCCCACAATCTCTTTGAGTACTGAGAAGGCACTAACCGATGATGCAATGTGCTTTAAGAGCCCTTGCTGAAATATACGACAATAAAATCAGAAAATGTTTATATGAACTGTACTGGCATCAATTTGTTTGTGTGTGTTTGCAAAAGGACTGAGTGTGTGATTAGGTTTAGGTGTGTGCGCGCATATGTGTGTATAACTGATCTAGAGATAAACTCATAAATGTCAAAACTGCCATCAAGCAATCTCACAGAACTTTTAATGAAAACAATCTTCTATCTTTCTCCCACATGCGCAAAACTCACAAACAGGCTGCGAACTTTGCTGATTAATAGAAAACAAACCAAGATCCATGTGTGTTTGTTCATGTTTGAGTTACAGCGGGATCACTGCCTCATCAATATGTGTTGCCGGAGGGACTTGGGACAACAAAACACATCTGTATGTGTGTAAAAACGACTCAAGCTGGAAAATATGCAGAGTCGGCAAGCACAGCTGAATCACGTACAGCTAAAAACAATTCACAGAGTTTTCCATCTCAACATTCCAATATCGTTCAGAGTGCCATTTAGCCTCATATAGGAATCAAGCTGTATAACTATAGCAATTTTGGGAAGCATAGATGCATTTGAATATTCAATATGGTGTACAAGGCAAAAGAAATGTGCAACATGACTCCAAAGCATCAACAAAATTCAATATTTCAATCATCATTTTGTTAACAACCATTTAAGTGATCAGTGAGTTTCAAATCTGTGCCATTTCAGTTAGGGTGCTGCTTAGGATGTTTTCTGGAACAGACTTTGAGTGATCCAAACTTCTCACCTGCCCCCTCTTTTGAACCCATTCACTTTAAAATCTCATTCTCACCATATGTGTTTCACTCGCACAAGCTCTGATTCTCATTATTAGAAAGGAAGGCAGTGGATTAAAGGGTTAACTAGTTCTCATGGTGACTGATGACGAGAAAAAGGTCATGTTATCAAAACTCTACATGGGAATTCATTAATACTCTTCAAATGTGAAGCATAAGGAGAGCTAGATGAGTGTTTGAAAGCGCTCTATTCTGTTTAAATGACAGTGTTGTCAAATGATGGCCAATAAACTGCACCCTAATATTCAAGAATTTCTGTGAAGCAGAAAATAGACAGAATAACGGATAGCAGTCATTAAAAAGAAATTTACTGTATAATGTGAAATCTCAGAATTTGAGATTAATATTTGGATTAATAAATCAAAAGTAGGGCTGCAGAATTAATCAAATTTAAATGGTGACATGCACTACTGTCTGTGATTATTAAACCACAAAAAGACTGCGGTTTAAATATGAAATCTAAATGTTCGGTGTGTTTTAATAGGGATTTCATAGGGCTGTACTAACTCAAAGGTTTAAAATGTTTTATTTGAGCAAAGTACATGAAAGATTCCTCATTTCATATGGCTTGTTGAGAGATGAGCTATTCCTGAAATAATCAGAAATAAAATCTTTGTCTATTGGACTCAGAATACCTTGGCAAACCTGGCAACCGCCACTCACGTTTTCTTCAGAAAATCTAAAAGTCCAGTCAAATATGAAGCGTTTTACAGCAATCGAAAAGAACAAACATTAGCAATGAACATACAAACACGGTCATGGAAGAGTGAACATAAACACAGGCTGTATACTTTCACAGTATGGTTTCAGTGTAACACTCACAAATATCTCCTCTTATTTCAAAGAGTAAATATACAGCTCACAGTCACACCAAGAAAGAGGGACAGAGCAACAGAGGAGATAAAATGAGAAAGAAAAAAAGAGGTACACAGGAATGAGAAAGTAGATGACAAAGAGAAGTTGCAGCTGGATACTGCTTGTCTTTATACCACAATCTGAGCTAGTACTCCACACAGTCAAACCGGACACCTTTCCACAGTCGAATGGCAGGTAGTCAAAATGAAATTAAACTTTCAGGGCTCTTGCCTGAAGCCATGTGGATTTATAAACCCTCATTCCTGAAGTCATGAAAAAAATTTGTTCGTTTTAACATATAGCAGTAGCTCAAAGCTCAGCAGTGGCGAGAGACTGAGAGAAAAATGGACGAGTGCATAATTATACGAGTGAGAAGTTTTAATAGGTACGACATCTGCCATGAACTCTTAAAGAGTTCATCTGCTTCATAAACATGGGTCAAACAATCTGACAGACTCAAAAGTAGTATTTCATTATTTTAAAACCCATATGATTTTCTTTCTTCTGTGAAACACGAAGGACAAGGGGGAAAAAACATCATTAGGGGTTAATATTTAACACTCCAAAATCAACTTGAACAACTTTAATCGTATTTATTGATTTGTTTGCAGCTCTGAAGTCAATGTATGTTTTTACTGTAGAGTAGCAGAACTTTAAAATTGCTTTCAAAATGTCTTATTACATTACACTGAAAAAAGTCTTTACTGTTGGCTTTTGATTAATTTAATGCATTCTTGCGGCAAATTAATATTGTAAATTATACAGGGAACCTTTTAACTTCATATACTGTACATTATAAATAAAGAAAATCTAAAAATAAATAAAAATGAACAACAATCTATTAGGGCTGCACAATTAATCAAATTTCTAACCACAATTACAATTATGGATGCCACAATTACGTAATCGTTCAAAGCGTCAATTAATCGTTCAAAGTCCACTTATGTAATTCTGCACGCTTAAGATATGTTTTTTCTTTCTACATGTTATCTTAAGGGTTTTTCCATTGTTTTAGTATAACATTATAATACCATTCATATTTTTACTTTTTTATAATTTAAAGAAGAAACCAATCCAATGTATATTTGACATTTGAGGCTTAATACTATAGAAAAGCACTAAAGGTTTTTCAGTTAGAGTGTTTTCAGCTTGTTTATTTTCATATAAAAATATGGCATGCAGTTGCATCAAACAATGGTATAAACACCATTCAATGTAAATTGTGATAATCATAATAAACGCAATTACAATTTCAAGGGAATAATCGACAATTATGATTTTCATAATTGAACATCATAATCGTGCAGCCCTACAATCTATGCAGTTCAATTCTATTTGTTTAACAGAAATTAATCGACACAACCAAACACTGCTTTGTGAATATCAACTAAAGTAAACAGCATTTCTTGTTTACAACTGTTCTTATACATATTTAAATGTATTTTTTAATCATTAAAACTAATGATAACTTGTCATTGATAACTATTGTATACAACAGATCAGAAGCACTGCTCTTCAAAATTTCATGTTCCACTGAACATAGAACTTCAGACCGGTTTGGAATGACATGAGGGTGAGCAAACTGCCTTTTCATTGCATTGCATAATGAAGATATAGACACAGGCCAGTCATTGTGGAGAATGTCAATGAAGCAGAATGTTTTGTTGGTTAGAAATCACAACACGCTTGCAAACATCATCCTTTTTTTGTGCGTGTGCACTGACATCAAGTATATCAGTCATGACACAAGTTTGTGCACATAAACCCTCCACATTACCTTCCTCACACACAAACATGCAATGTGGCTCCATGCTAATAGCAAATGAGTGCATGTCTTGTTATAAAGTCTGACCCCTGGTGACAAAAACAACATGCTGTTCCGCTGATGTTAACACTGTGGCTTCACAACAACACAACCAGTCCTGTAATCAACCCTGCTGAGTCAGCGTTTCTCCGTCGCTCTCTCACACACACATTCTAATAGAGGGGAATTACAGAGCAGTGTGTAAGGTAAAGACTTCAGCTTGAGGTGGGATGGTTCTGCGCGATGAGTGATCTGACCCAGACAGACCCTTGGAGCCACACTGAAGTCAGATTCTCCACACAGACCTGATATCCTGGTTTTGGGTTTCAGGGACACAAAGAAAGTAAAGCCTCATTTATTGACTAAAAAAAGCAACATGGTCTAAAATGGTATCTAGTAAAGGGCACGGTCAAGTCATACAGGTGTTTTCAGCCAAGTGCCTTGAGCATTTCTGTCAGGGCAATGGTAATATTCCCAATTGCACTTAGATACAGTGCTATGCAGTGTTTCCCCTAGGTTTACGGCTTTTGGGGGGGGGGGGGGGGGTGATTCCGTTTTTTTTTTTGGCCTTCTTTTTTAT